TGGAGGGGAGAGCCCCCGGCCTTTGTGGACGGGCTGTTCCTTTGCATGTGAATGGGGGAGTTTGGTAAATCCCCGGGCCTCGGCTGGGGCGAGGAGGAGGAGGAGAAAGGGGGTTCGCTCCCAGCTCGGGGTTAATGAAGTGGGAAAGGAGTCTTTCAAAGAGGCCTGCAAACAACCCCCCTCCCCGGGCAACAAACCCCCGTCCCAAATCCTACATGGATTGACTTAAACCCAGGGGATAAGTGCTTTAAATTAATCTCATTGAATAAGAATGAGGCCAAACAAAACTCTTTAAAATCATATTAAAAATCTATCAAAGGACAACTTGCAGTGGGTGTGCTTTTCATTTTGTGAGCGCAAAGGCAAGGAGCATACAGCAACCTTCCTCCCATTTACACCCCGTCCCAAATCCTACATGGATTGACTTAAACCCAGGGGATAAGTGCTTTAAATTAATCTCATTGAATAAGAATGAGGCCAAACAAAACTCTTTAAAATCATATTAAAAATCTATCAAAGGACAACTTGCAGTGGGTGTGCTTTTCATTTTGTGAGCGCAAAGGCAAGGAGCATACAGCAACCTTCCTCCCATTTACACAGCAACTTGTAGCCGTAGCAGATTCCTCCTCTGACATTAATGAAGTACAAGGCTTCGTTACACGTTTGTAATTGCAATATTTAAATTTGCCATTTCACATCTGGAAGAAGATGGAAACTCCCTTGTAACAGCAGGGCTGAGCCAGTGCTGTAGCACAGTGACAGGGTCCAGTTCGTGCTATGAGGATGGTGGGTGAGAGCAGGGCAGAGCCCAAGGAGACCTGCTCTTTGGGAAGGGGGAACAGCCCTATCAGGTCTGGCTGGGAAGGAAGGAGGGCAGAGGGGAAGCAAGGGCTGGAGCCATCTCCTCCAGGGAGATCTCGAAGCAGAGTCAAGCAAGGCAAGCTTCAAAATAAAGCAGTTTAGGGAAGACACCACACGCTGTAGGTTCTTGTCAGAGAGCTCCACACTCGCCACACAAACAGCATCCGCAGGAGAATCTCAGCAGCCCCAAAAGCTGAAGGACCAACCTCACCTCCAGCTCATGTGCAGGGACGAGATGGGACCCCGCTGTTCAACAGCAGAATCCACCTGCACCTACAGCAGCCCCTGACCAGGCTGGAAACTCTACTCTGGATTTCTACAGGCTGGTGCCAGGCAGGCATTACCCTGGCAGGTCCTCAGAGTGGGACAAGCTGTGCTGAAATCAGGCAAAGCAGTGTAAGTGGCAGAGCTGAGAAGGAGCACCAATCCCATTAAGGAAACCTTTGGAGTACTGCACCAGCTCTGCTACACCGACTTCTCTTGGGATACAGTGACTCCAACAGACAGGCTGCTGGTGGTTGGTTTCGGCTCCAGGCTCTGGATCCAAGACACAAACTAGTCAGTGCAGTGGGTTTGCCAGGCTCAAGCACAGTCCTGGCTCTCAAACCCCTTCTGGGCTTTCACCCAGCTTGAGGGCCATCTTCCTCCCCTCCTGACACAGCTTTAATCAGGACCACCACCCTTGGACCAGAGAGAGAACAAAAGCTGCTCCACTGAACCACGCACACAAATTCAATGACTGTTTCTAGCAGAGATATTCCATGTTTTCATCTGAACACCAAACAAAATTAACCCAGAATGGAAAGGCTGAACAGTCAGAGCTTTTCCTGCCCTCTCCCCAGGCTTATGGAGAAAATAAGTTGTTGTGAACAGGGAGCTGTGTTCCTTTCTATCCTGCTTAGTTACGAGTGCTTCTCCACGGGGGGTACCGCCACTAAGGTGTACTGTGCTTGACCTAGCACAGAAAGTGGGTGTTCAACTGTGACCTTTGTTCCTCAGGGGACCCCCTTGCTTTTTCCTATCCCAAAGCCCTGAAGCATAAACTCAAGATGTTCCAGCTGCAGAGCAGAGGAGGACATGGGCTCCCACTGCTGGCAAAGGACACGGAGCTAGAAGAGAGCTGAGGAAAGGCGCAAGAGCATCTCCTGGGAGTGGCAGAACCCCAGGTGTGAGAGCAGGGAGTGGAGGGGCAGCAGGGGAGGCAAACCCAGACCAAGTCCAGGTCTGTCTCATAGGCAGCTTTATATAAAGCTCCACAGTGCCATCATTTCCAGACTGAACACAGAAACTTAAAGCTGCAAGGCAGGAGGGCCCCTACCATTCATCACAATCAAAACAAGAAAGAAGCCTAACCAAACACTGGTGCAGCCAAACAGAGCTGCAGATTCACTGCACGCTGCCAAGAGCCAATCTCCCCACCCATACCAGCCACAAAGGCAGTTGCCACCCAGCCAAGACCCCTGCAACACACACCACATACCTCAGAGCAAGAGGGGACAAACTCAGGAGCAGTTCAGGGCGACATCCACCTGCTCCACGCCAGGGCTGTGCCAGGGGAACCCACTGCGACCCCCAGCAGCTTCTCCAGCATTCAGGTGCTTGGAGGACCCAGTTCCTGCTCTGCAGCTTGGTCACCCCTGCTCCAGGGCAGGTATCACACCATGCCCTGCCCTGCTGATAAGGTGCTTTCAGTTGATCACAGATTAACTGCAAATTTACCAGGTTCTACCTGAATTGAGTGTTGCACCAGGACAAAGCCAGCTCAGAGCTGAGACAGAGCTGCCAGACTGTAAACAAGGGCAGAACTTGGTTCCTGCTGACCCAGCTACAACTCAAACACATTTTGCTCATCAGCCTTCAAGCTTATTAAGAGCAAACTCAGCTCAGCTTCAGGTGCTTGTGTATTTCTTGTAACACCTTCTCGTTCTTGTTTAACAATCCCCTCCTCTTCCTTTACCTAATCCCTCCAGTAATCCAGCACTACCTGCTAAAAGATGGTGAAGCTGGAAGAAAAAGGCATTCTATTTTTTTAATCACACTATTCATCATAACCATTTGTAATGTTACATTCCCAGTTCCTGGAGATGGCAGTAAGATTTCCTGACATCTCTCACTCATCTGCTGTTGGCCTTTATTCCTACTATTATGAATTTGGCAACAGACCCTATAAATTCGTATGTGACAGTCAGGAGAAGGTCATGTATTTTCTCCTCATGCACAAGATCAGTTCTTCCCAAACTTACACTCTCTGCATAACTCTGAGTCATTTCCATCCTCGCAAGGTTTCTGTTTAAGCTGACATTTGCCTTAAACCCGACTGCTCTTCCAAACAGTACTCATAACAGAATCAGGTAGGCTTTCTTGTTATTTTGTCTTACTCTAGTAGATGCTGGTAACTTCATTATCTCTGCATAAACATGTTTAATTTTATCCTGGACTCCTTTAAACATCTTCCTGGAATGTTAAGTAAAAGCAGCGTGTTTGGTAATTGCCTGGGAGAGAAGAAAAACCCCATTTTGGTTCTCAAAGTTACACTCATTTCAGAAATTAAATACTTTTGGGCCAATTGCTTCCCTCCTACAATCCTCAGTATGACTCATGATAGCCCTGAGCAGGTGCCCTCAATTCCATAGTCACAAAGTGAGCATCATTTGCATCTGGTTATACTCCTTTCTCAGTACTTTTTTCCTGCTTGCATCTGAAATTGCCACTGGATTTTAGCACTTTCTAGTCCTGCATTAAACAATGTGCCCAGCTTGGGTCATGGATGGGCTGCTCTTCCTCATCTCTTTCCTCAAGGAATATGCACACAGGCCAGAATGTTCTGCACTGTTTTCAAGTGTGTACTGCTTAGAGCTTGTGTTCCAGGAGGTGATGGAAGAAGCACAGTGAGGCAGACAGCGAGAGGGAGGTGGGTGCTCACCTGCAGGTCCTGGGGGAGGTTGTAAGTCTCCTGTAGGCCGTGGGGAGCACCCACTCTCCCTCGTGCCCCACCAACTCAAGGGGAGCTCTGTCATTGACTTCACTAGAGCTCAGGTTCCATTTCACACGCTGGGCAATGGTGCACGAGTGCTGGCCTCAACATGTTAAGGCCATACTCCATCTCTTTTCTCAATAATCCAAATTCTCTGATGATAAGCAAGAACAAGAAAAAAAGAGAGATGGGAAAAGCCAGAAGTGAAATCCATGAGCTTGGGATGTATTCAAAATCAGCCTACCCAAAGCACACAGAACCCAGAAAGCTGGGGTTATCACTGGCAAGTGTTTTAGCAAGAGCCTGCAAAGGCTTTAATGTTCAGAGATGAGACATTTCATCCATGCTCTGCGTTACACAATTAGGTGAGACAATATGCTGCAGGCAAGGAGAAGGTTGGAGATTGTTGGATGCCACACTGGCTCTTTCCCACAGTGATGTTCATTCCCAAACTCAGGAGTTTTGACATGAAGTTTTGTGCCCATGAGCTCTGCCCCAAAGGCATCATGTGTCACTACACTGAAGAGAGTTCTCCACAATCCTCCACTTGCACTGGAACTGGGAGACCTTTTACAGGTGCCAGTATCTGACTAATGATCAGTGTCCAGGGATGGACTCTGCACCAATGCACAAAGGGCAGGAGAGAAGGTGGCAGCAACATGGCTATGTGACCTGAGACAGGAGCAGAAGTGACCTCATGTATAATCACTGGGGAAAGGGCAGTCTCCTCTTAAACACGGCCCTGGAACCTCCTCTGCCACTACTGTTTATCTGGCTAAAAATGAGCAAGCAAACAGATTGTGGAGTATTTCTACAGCTCTTTTAAACAGGAAAGCATCTCCTGTCTGAGTACACTTGTCTCACTTTCATGCTGTGGAGACATCACATTTCTCTGAAAACCATATTTAACCTTTTTTATTTTTCTTGCAAAACCCACTTAGAAATGTGGTGCATCTCCATGAAGCCTGCAGCAGTGCAACAGGACACGCCTGGATTCGATTCCATTTGGACCTATGCAATGAAGGGGAGGAGGCCAAGAACTCCAAAATCCCTCCCATATTTGCCTGATAAATTGAAACACTCCTGTGTTGATTTGGCAGGTCACCCTGACCCCCGGCAGAGGCACTCAAGCAGGTTTTGCAGCCAACCACTGGAAGGTCCCGGCTTATGTTGGAATCTGCTGGTTGCCAGGTTTTCTCAGCTTTTTCTTCTTCTTCTTGACCTTGGATACACCAGTGTCCATCCCACTGGAATATTCAGATCGTAAGATCTCAGCAAGGCAACGTTTGCCATGGGTCTTCTTGAGAAGGTCGGACCTGGGCAGAGGGAAGAGAAGAGGAATTAGATTTCCTTCTCTCCGAAACGCTGCTAGGTGGGTTACTTATTTTACAGCTGTGGAAAGTGACATTTGCACATTAGCAGAAGAGCAGCTTCCTTTTCTTGAGGCTTGATTTGAAATTCTGTCTCATGCAAAATTAGATATTGTTGTGACAGGTTTTCACAAAGGTGGCAAAATATCATGCCGGTTTTAAAAGCAAGCCTTTGTTCTGTACAAATGCTCTTGCAGGGGTGGCGGGGAGCAGGAGGAAGGTTGTGTGCTGAAGGCTGATGAATTAGGTGACACAGCAGTTTGAAAATGATAATAATAGTAAAAAAAAAAACCCCTAAAGTCTTAAGACATTGAATAATGGAAACATTTTATAAACAGAGCTTATACCCAGAGCTTGAAAACACAGAACCTCCAAACAAGCAAAAAAAAGGCTGGAGTCTAAACCCAACAGACTCTTTTCTTGCAGCGTCCTGCAGACATCACATGCACCTTACAGCTTCCCTCTCCAGAGACCAGCTTTTGCAAAGGTAGCTGCATTCTGCCCAGCCACTAAACTCCAGCGTGGATCTCCCTGTAGCCCTAAACTGCCAGCTATAAATATAAAAACCCACTCAGCATTTTTCCACCACAAGTTCTGCCACTGCTCTATAACCTTGGGCAAATCTCATCCCCAGTGCTGCTATCACCCTCACCCATTTAAACTGCAGGACCCGTCGTTCCCTACCATGTTCCCATGGTCCCAGGCACGAGGGGTATCCACACCCCCTGGTGTCTGCACATCCCACTCTCCTTTTTATAATGCAGACCAGTAAGATCCCAAAAATTTCCAACAGTGAAAAGAAATCTATCTGTCCCTCTAAATACAAGGAAACAGGAGTCCCTCATCCATGCCAGTGTGCACTTACAACACCACATGGACCACAGCAGTCCTGAAGGTTGGCACCTTATAGCACTGCCTTGCGTAGTTCTTCCAGGTGTCCAGAACCATGCTGGGATCACAGGAGAAGGAAGCATTTTTGGCTGCACAACAGATCAACCCATTCATTAGACCACACATACAAAGAAAGCAAGGGAAGCAAACTCTTGGCTGTCTGGGGTATTTGCTTGCCCCCTTTTCCACAGCTTGTTTTCTATCCCTGTGCAGGTTTGATGGCTGGAGTGGGTTTGGAAGGATGGATCAGAATGATTAAAAGGATGGTGTGATGATTACCACTGACAGTTTTCCCTAGAAGAGAGAGCCTGGAATACACAGGGAAGAAGACTCTGCTACCATTGGTGTAGCTTCCATTCTCTCACTAATTAAATGTTCAAGCAGAAGGGCCAGAGACCAGACATACCAGAGAAATAAGACACAGCCACCACCGAGCCTGAACCCACAGAAATGAGATAAAAAGACAGAATGAACTCAAAAGCAGCCATACAGCTAATGAAGCAAACGCGCTGTTGGTAGAGCTGTATGTGCAGCACCTCCACAGCAGACGTGCCTTGTCCAACTGCCTTCCTGAATGCACAAGCCCCAGCAGCACAGGGGGGTGTTTGTGGGTGGCAGGCCAAGGTGTCCCCTCAACCAACCCAGCTCTGCTGCAAGAACTTCATAACGCAGCTGTATCCTCTGCTCAGCCCCCTCCATCACTTGATAAAGTTTCTGTTTGACACTTTCATTGTGTCTCCAAGCATTTACTACAGTAATTTGAGGGTTACCAAGCAACAGATCAGTTTACTTAACAACAGGGAACTATCTGCTGCAAAAGGACAAGTAATCCACCAGTAGCTGCCAGGCTGAGTTTCAGCTCAGCAGGGAGGTTGTCCAACACTTTATTATCAATCATTGCCCAATTAGTAAATCAATACCCCCTGCTGTGGTGATCAGCTGTACACGGAAAAGCAAGGATGCAGGGAAAAGAGAGGTTTCTCCCTCTAACTAGGGCCACAGAAAATCAATGGACCTGTACTGTGGAACCTGTGCTGATCACTGAGAGAGAAGAAAAGCAGTTACCAAGGCCCTGTGTAACCACGAGATGGAAGAGCCACCAACAACAGCAAGAGTCTGCAGTGACAGTACATCAGGAAAAACGCTCCAGGTCAGGATCCCCGGCTGGATTCTGATTACTGCTGTAAACTTGTAAATTCCCCTTTCTGCTCAACTGGTGAAAGTCTCTGGGGCTCTGCCAAAGCAGCCAAGATAACATCAGTGAGGAAAGGCACCCTGTGGTTATGAGACAAAGCCCAGGAGAACAGAGCAAGACCTTGACACTCACCCCCTGAGCATCCTTGGGCAAGGTATTTAATCTCTTTGGCCTTTGTGTCCATTCTCCCACCTCCTAACCCGGGATGACTGCATTTTCCCTGTTGCCAAAGGCTTGTTTGATGTTGATTTAAGACAGTTGTGTGGTGATACTGTGGCAAAAAGCTTCACAGAAAGGCTGTGAATTTAAGATGCAATTGCAACACAGACAGAACCCATGTTCCCATGACTGGATAAACACCTGGATTGTCAGCATCTCTTTCTGTGATCTCATGTCTAGATATCACATTATATTGAGCCCTAATGAGAACACATCACGTTGATAACGGGCAGAGAAATCCCCGGCCCTTTAAATTCCTCCCTCCACACACAACAGTCAGTCTTTAGGTTGGAATTACAAAACAGTACAGCTAAAGGGAACTTGCAGGGGAAGGAAAGATTCACTAATGACTGACCCATCCCAATGTGCTACAGTATGAAGACTTCAGCAGAGCTTAAAGGAGAAAAGAATGTTCAAAGGGATGAGAAAATAGCCACTTTTATTAGCTGGGGGAAAATGAGACAGGAACAGAGAAGTCATAACTCAGAAAAGAAAGCAGCCCGAACACACGAGTTGGGAAGAACCAGTCCCTGAACACAAGCCATCTGACTTCCCTGTGTTACTGTCCGGCACACTGGGTGTTGAGTGCTGTGACATATTGGATGCCAGGCAGAAACACCACTGGACTACTGCTCTTTTATGCCAGAACTGGGATATCAGGACTCCCATCAAAGACAGATGGGAACTGGTAAGTAGTCAAGAGCCAGCAGAGATGAGTAGGAACCACCTTCTAACTTCAAGTGGCGGGCACATCATCCCTTCATTTGCAAGCCTTAACCTCAGACCAGCCACTCCTTTGGGCTTTGTGTTTGGGGTACAGGGCAAAAGCCGTATCACGCTAAGATCTATCTACCTGCCTCATTATCAAGGGGAGAGAAAAGTGCTTTGCACAGTGAGGAAGGGAAGGCAGAAAGCTTAGTAATTGCTTGGCATAGTCTGAGAAAGCTCCTCTCCTCCTAAAGGAGACAGTGGAAGGAATAAAAGACCTGGGTTTACAGCTATCTGTGCACATCTGTAATTAAGCTGCAACCTCACAAAGGCTGGTACTCCAAGCCTCAAAAGAGAGACAATAAGGAAACAGAGAAACTGTCCCCAAATGACTTTGTTATATCCTGAAAGTCCAGGAAAGACCAGGCCAGAGAGAAACTTTTAAAGACAAAAAAGCTCTGTCCTCCTCCACAAAACAGGAATAATTTTTTTTCTCTCTTTAAACATCAGAAACTCATGAATCTTGCTAAAAGCATCTCTGAATGATGAAAAGGCAGGAGAGGAGCATCTGGAAGAAACAAGAGACAAAAAGTGTCCAGGGAAGGAAAGAGAACAAAATCTTTCTTTCCTCTGCTTCAGTTTCCTTCTACTTCCACCTACAGAGCCACTCCCAGCACTCTGCTCCCCTGCCCCATCCCACTCAGGAGCCACAGTACTGGTGCTGCCCAGACTCAGAGGAAACCTGAATGATTTGGACCAGTCTCCTTTTCTGGCCACTTGACTCTAAACTCTGCTTTGCTCAAGAGTATCAGAAAAGATTCAAGGCAAATCGAGGCAAAAAACCACAAACAGGTGTATATTTGCAGCACAGGTGATTAGTCTGAAATCCTCTCTGTTGTTTCCAGCTCTGTCTTCTGCTCTGCCACCTGACACTAACTCACCACAGAAGTCTCACCTAGCTTAGGTATAACACACCTTCAACGTACTTCCATGTGCCCTGGGTGACTGGTGGCTTTAAGAACTCTGAAGACACCTTCCACTGAATTCCACAATCACTAGCAACAAGATGGTAGAGTAACAGGAATTATAATACTATGGCAAAAAACACCAAGACAGAACTAAGCTTTGAGGATGTTCAACATAGCTGAGATCCCATGGACAGCTCCAAGGCACAAACAGAAGAAAAACATACACAACTTTGTGTTTCTATGTAACATCCCACTCATCTCCCACACATTCCTGGTAAGACTGTAAGAATGATCATCAGACTGAATTCGTTACAATATGCAGACCATCATCCTGGATTTGGAGACTCTCAAACATTTGGGTGTGAAAGGACCAACTGGCAGCAGTGAGACAAGGAAAGAGGATGACACCATTTTTCATTTTCACTTCAAAATTCTATGTTTCATTGACACATCTGCTTTGTCAGAGACCTCAATCACAAGCTGATCCCCAAGCCAAAAACTCCGACATGCCAGAATAATGCTTCACATATGTGTGGTTTCTTGGGTATCTTTTGATGGCTCAGAAGATACCTCTGCTAGTCTTGTTAACCAAATGGTGAGTGAGCTTGTTCTTAGAGATATCTCCTTCAACTTGGTCGGCACTGCTGTCTGTTCCTTTGTCTTGAGCTGTGTGAAATGCTGGTGCAAAACAGTGCAGCAAGTATCTTTAACCAACACACAGCATCTGCAGCAACCAAAGGCTCCCAAATTTCTCCAGCTGAGGAATGAGGAGTATTAAGTTCTGACACAGAGCCCCAGAACTCATGGTGTGTCTTTGGAGGAGACAGGAGTAGGCTGTTTCATTTATCAGAAAACATTTCAACATGGATCACGCTATCAATCTGCCTGACAGCATCTCCAACAGCTCTTTGAAGTTGTGCCAGCAGCAGAGCTGGGTTACCTCTGGGCCAAGGCTGCTGCAACAC